AATGAAAAGTTTAATCTCAATAAATTCAATCTCTTGGCCTCCGATCGCATTGCTCTCAACCGATCTCTTCCTGACGTCCGAATGGATGGGTTTGTCATATGATTTGTCTTACAGTTGAGACCATATATAGTAATTGTGTGACCCTTTGAATGCCAGGTGCCGTCGCAAACATCACCCAAAACTGCTTCCCTCCACGTCTATCGTAATCGTATTTCATAACGAAGCCTGGAGTACCCTATTGCGCACCGGTATGTCTCAGCTGTGCCCCTATTATAGCATTGATTGTAACGATTGATGTGTTTTCATCAGTTCATAGTATTATCCGCACGTCTCCGGAGGCACTCATTGAAGAGATTCTGTTAGTGGACGACGCGAGTGAAAGAGGTATTGCTTTTGCTTTCATTTTATTGTATCGGTTATGCTCTCATTGCTTGCAAACCCATATTCAATGCATTTACAGTATGTCATTGATTTTATCTGCATTTATCTCAGTTTATACTGAATTACTGTTTATTTAATCTAATGTACACTTGAAGCAGATAAGTGTAAATGTATTGAATTTAAGCCTTTTTGCCTCAAATCTCATTTGCCATAGTATTGTCTATTAGCAGGTCAGGTAGATGTGGTCTAGCAAATGAATTGTTTAGTAATGTAAGTGTAAAAGATAAACACTTACTAAAAGTAAATTTAAATGTGTTCAATAATGGTTAACACATTTGCAATTATAAATGATTGCATAAATCTATTGGATAAAAGTGTGCAAGTTGAATATTGTTGCTTTTTAAAAATACATGTATTTAAGAATATTAGCGAAATGCAGATTCTGTATAACACGAGTGATATTACAGTACATGTACTTTAGTGACCATCATTTTGTTCATATTCAGATATTTAATGTCATGAGTGATGAAATCTTAATCTGGTTAGGCGGCGTCCACAAAGTACATACGCACTGGTAGGGGGGAGGGGGGTCATGCCAAAGCGTATGTCACCATGTTAAATTCCTATGTACCATGGGCGTGTAGGGGGAGGGGGTCAATTTTTCCCCAAAATTTTGCGTACGTACTTTGTGCACGCCGCCTTACTGTAAAACGTTGTGGTTTATCATATCAGTTGTTGAATTTAGAGATTTGAAAAAGCAACAAATTGCCTGTTTGTAAGCCCATACACCTGTAAAATACTGTGCATTTAGTGACTAAATTTGAGTGCCTCACAG